GATATTTGTTTTCTTTATTTTTTTGAGACAGAGTCTCAGTCTGTCACCAGGTTGGAGTACAGTAGCATGATCTCAGATCACTGCAACCGCTGCCTCCTGGGTTCAAGTGATTCCCCTGCCTCAGCCTCACAAGTAGCTGGGACTACAGGTGTGCACCACCATGCCCGGCTAATTTTTTTGTTTGTTTTAGCAGAGACCGGGTTTCACTTTTTTGGCCAGGATGGTCTCCATCTCCTGACTCATGATCTGCCCACCTTGGCCGCCCAAAGTGCTGGGATTACAGGCGTGAGCCACCACGCCTGGCCTGTACTTGATATTTCTTCAAATGTTAGTAAAAAGTCTGAGTCCTAGTGAATTTAAGGATATTAAAACTCTATAACCTATCATTCCTCTCTTTTCTTAGCTTCCCAGGAAGACTTGGGGCTAATTTCAATGCCTAAGTATATTTTGTATATTAGGTTGGGTGTTTTTGAGTTATCATTTCCTTTTTTCAATGTTTCCCTTTTTATTTTTGTAATTTAATCCTTTTTAGAAATGTGCTGTATATTATGAATTAATGTTTTTTATTCTTAATCCTTTTTCAATTGTTTTTGAGCTTTCGAAAATGACTGTTCACTACTCCTTGAACTTTTTTTTTTTTTTTTTTTGAGACAAAGTTTCGCTCTTGTTACCCAGGCTGGAGTGCAATGGGCGATCTCAGCTCACCGCAACCTCCGCCTCCTGGGTTCAGGCAATTCTCCTGCTTCAGCCTCCTGAGTAGCTGGGACTACAGGCACGTGCCAGTATGCCCAGCTAATTTTTTGTATTTTTAGTAGAGATGGGGTTTCATCATGTTGACCACGATGGTCTCAATCTCTTGACCTCGTGATCCACCTGCCTCAGCCTCCCAAAGTGCTGGGATTACAGGCTTGAGCCACCGCGCCCAGCCGAACCTTTTTTTTTTTTTTGGAGACAGAGTTTTGCTCTGTTGCCCAGGCTGAAGTGCAGTGGCATAATCTCGTCTTACTGCAGGCTTCGTCTCCCGAGTTCAATCAATTCTCATGCCTCAGCCTCCCAAGTAGCTGGGATTATAGGTATGCACCACCATGCCCAGCAAATTTTTGAATTTTTAGTAGAGGCAGGGTTTCTCCATGTTGCCCAGGCTGGTCTCAAGTGATCTAGCTGCCTCAGCCTTCAAAAGGGCTGGGATTACAGGAGTGAGTCACCACGCCCAGCTGACATGTTTTCTTTCTTGCCTCTCACTATATTCTTTCAGTTAACAAATATTTATTGAATATTTACTAGGTGTCAGGCACTGTTGTTATTCCTCTCCCAATTTGATCCTCTTCTTCATCCCATTCACTCTCTCACTTCTGCCCCATAAATGGAGCAGGTCCACAAAGGTTCTGTCATTTATTTTATGATGTTCTCAATTCTGCACACTGTCCCTTGATTTGGGAACACAATTCCCTTACTTGAAACTTTTGAAGCCAGATACGCTTCAGAATTCTGAATTTTTGGATTTTAGCAAATTCACAGGTTGTAACAACCATATATTTTTTAACACTTTACACAGAGGGGCAGCACTGTCTAATTAAATATATCAATATTTCTGCAATGAAATATATGCATGCTTACACAAAGCCAGATAGAGATTATGACTACTACAGTATATGTAGACTATAACACTCACAGCAGTTTTTTTTTTTTTTGAGACAGGGTCTCACTCTGTTGCCCAGGCTGGAGTACAGTGGCATGATCTCAGCTCACTGCAACCTCCATCTCCCGGGTTCAAGTTATTCTCCTGCCTCAGCCTCCCAAGTAGCTGGGACTACAGGTGCCCACCACCGTGCTCAGCTAATTTCTGTATTTTTGGTAGAGATGGGGTTTCACTATGTTGGCCAGCCTGGTCTTGATCTCCTGACCTTCCAGATACTTGCAGGGGCTGAAGTGAGAAGAATGCCTGACAGCAGGAGGGTAAGCCTGCAGTGAGCTGAGATGCTGCCACTGTACTCCAATCTGGGCAACAGACTGAGGCTCCTGTCTCAAAAGAAAAAAAAGGGGGGAATACAGCACAAAGCAACTAACTCAGGCTAAGTTATGAAAATCTTAGAAAATAGTTTCCTTTGAGTGCAGAAACAGACATTCCAATCAGAGCAAACAGCAGATTCAATGGTACCCATTTCTTAAAACAAAAAGGCTACAGGCCCCATGCAAGTCCAAAATCCAATGGGGCAGTCATTAAATCTAAAAGGTCCAAAATAGTCTTTGACTTAATGTCTCTCATCAGGGGCAAGCTGATGCAAGGGGCGGGCTGCCACAGCCTTGGGCAGCTCCTTCATGAGCTGGCATTGAATGTCTGCAGTTTTTCCAGGCACAGAGTGCAAGCTGTCAGTGGATCTACCATTCTGGGGTCTTGAGGATGGTGACCCTCATCTCACAGCTCCAATATGCAGTACCCCAGAATCACACATTGCCCTAATGCAATACCTTAGCAGAGGTTCTCTATGAGGGCTGTGTCCACAAAGCAGACTTCTGCATGGACATGCAGGTATTTCCATAAATCCTGTGAATTCTAGGTGGAGGTTCCCAAACTTTAATTCTTGAATTCTGTGCACCTGCAGGCTCAACACCAAGTAGTAGCTGCTTAAGCTTGGGGCTTGCACCCTCGGAAGCAACAGTGAAGCTCTATGTTGCCCCTTTCAGCCACATCTGGAACTGAAGAGGCTGGGACACACGGCACCAAGTTCAAGGTTGCACACAGCAATAGGCACCTGACTCTACACAGGAAACCATTTTTTTCCCTTAGGCCTCCAGGCCTGTGATGGGAGGGGTTGTGGCCGAGATCCTGTCTGGGGAAAATGTCTCCAGGTCATGTAGCCAACATGCTCTGAAGACATTTTCCCCATTGTCTTGGCAATTAACATTTGGCTCCTCATTACTTATGCAAATAAGTAGGAGGGAGGTGCAATCCTGCATGAGCAACAGAGCAAGACTGTCTTTAAAAGAAAAAAAAAAGATACACCTGTGTAGGGCACTTACCATAAATTGAGCTTGCAAACTGAAAGTTGCTTCTAGGTGTCAGTGAGTGAGTGGTACGTAATGTGAAAACCTAGGACATTACTGAACACTGTATACTTAGACTTTACAGTGTATACTTAGTCTACACTAAATTTATAAAAATATATTTTTCTTTCTTCAATAATAACTTAACCTTAGCTTATTTACTTTATGTGCTTTTAATTTTTAAAAATTTTTCTTTTTTGGATGGGGTCTTCCTGTATTGTGCAGGCTGAAGTACAGTGGCATGATTGTTGCTCACTGCAGCTTTAAACTCCTGGCTCGAGCTATCCTGCCACTTTAGCCTCCCAAGTAGCTGGGGCTATAGGCATGCACCACACCTGTTTCTTTTTAATATTTTCACTCTTTTTGAATAACGCTTAGCTCAAAACACACTGTACAGCTGAACAAAATATTTTTCTTTATATCCTTATGGACTTTTTTCTATTTTGTAACTAAAATTTTTTTAAATATTTTAACTTTTTTGTTAAAAATGAAGACACAAGCACACACACACTAACCTAAGTCTACCTACACAGGGTCAGGATCATCAATATTACTGTCTTCTACCTCCATTATCTTGTCCCAGTGGAAGTTCTTTAAGGGCCATAACATGCAAGAAACTCATCTATAACAAGGCCTTCTTTGGGAAGACCTTTTGAAGGGCTCTCCTGAGGCTGTTTAGTTACCTTTTTTCCTGTAAGTAGGGGTACAGTTTAAAATAAATAGTAAACACACAACCAGTAACACGGTCTTTTCTTATCAAGTATTATGTACTCAACATAATTCTATGTGTAATACTTTCATATGCAGCTTGTCTACACCAGCATCACCACAAACACGAGTAATGCATTTGTAGGGCACTTACATAAAATGTTATGATGCCTTTGTCTTTAGTTGACAGGAATTTTTCAGTTCCATTGTGATCTTATGGGACCACTGTCATATATGCAGTCTGTCATTGACCAAAGTCATTATACAGCATATAACTGAACAGTTGTCTTCATTTTATGTAACAGAATGCTTTACCATAAGTGGCTATGGCAATGTCCCTTAAGTAATTAGCAGAGTATTTTTGGATAACAGAAGTTGACATTTAAGATTATACTAACTAAACATTTTTGGCATAATTTACAACAATCTATATGGATTTGGAATTATGTCATTTCCTTATTGATGAGTCAAGCCATAAAACCTAACTGGCACATTGGTCATCAGTTATTCTGTACTACCCTATTCCAAACCTGCCACATCTCTGTTCACCCCCAACATGTGCTAGAGAGAAATTCCATACTAAAGACCACAGTTGAAAACAAGAAAAAAGTCAAATGATTCTACCAACTCTTTCAATGATCATATATTCCTTGTTTGGAATTTAGTAAATACTACTTTACAACCCAAGAAGGCTGGGCATGATTGCTCACACCTGTAATCTCAACACTTTGGGAAGCTAAGGTGGTAGGATTGCCTGAGGCTAGGCATTTGAGTACAGCCTGGTAAACACAGTGAGATCCCATCTCTACAAAAAAAATTTAAGAAAATTAGCTAGGCATGGTAGTGCCCACCTATAGTCTGAGCTACTCGGGAGTCTGAGATGGGAGAATTGCTGAACCCAGAAGTTCAAGGCTGCAGTGAGCTATGACTGCATCACTGTATTCCAGCCTGAGCAACAGAACGAGATCCCATCTTCACAAAAACTAAACCAAACCAAACCAGAAAAAGAGATACTTCGCAAATTACTGAAGATGTAAGATTCTGTTTTTTTTAATGTCATCTAATTCATTTTTTAAGAAGAGTATCAAGGAAATAATTATCAGGTATAGTTTGGGAAAAGGTGAGTAAATCCTTAACACAGTTGGCCCAGGGTTTTATTTGGTAGGTCTAAATTGACCTTGCAGCTATGAAATTCCAAGTTTGTGCTTGAATACATGACTAAAAGAATGAAATGAAATGACCAATAGTATATGTACCATTTTAGTTTTTATTAATAAAATAGAAACCTAAACTCAGACAACTGCTTTATTCTTGCATCTAATCTGACCATGTACTGGAGTAGCAATTCTTTATAAAAGGACTTAGATGAGAATTGTCAATATATCAGTTCCATCAAAAACTCTAGGTTGGAATATCTTAAAAAGAGCAAATTAAATATGAGAAAGCACAGGCATCTCTCGCTCAAACAAGAGGGGCCTCCTTTAAGAGTCTTTAATAGAGCTCATTTGCAATGATATGAAAATCCATCAGGATCAGTCATGTTGCACAATCCCTAAAGGATAAAACTGAGGGAACTCATGGATAATTTTCACAGCTTCATTGTAAAGTCCAAGATCTGAAAGAAACATTTAAGCAAACATTTAATCTACAGTGGAAAGTTGTAACATCAATTATCACCTAAGATATTTTTATTTATTTCCCTTTTCTCACCCTTTGGAAGTGAATTTTTAAAATTGGAGATATGGATTACAGATTCTTGTATTTAACTGTGGCGCCAAAAAGAGAAAGAGAGAAACAAACAAAAAAACATGGGAATACCATCCATTTCGATGTTCATTATACAGGCAGTATCTGCCTGGTAGTATTTTAGGTGTTATGGATTATTCCATTCCTTCAATTCATATAGTACAACAAAACGACTAATATTATTTTATTTGTTATATTTAAAAATTATCTTTCTACAAATATTAATTAATCTGTACTGAGTTTCTTACATATATAAGCACTACTTAGAAGCAGGACAAAACAAAACGTATTCCCATTTTCCTTTAGGATCAGAAAATTCTATAGAAATTGAAAATATGACAGTACTAAATGCTAGGCCAATAGATATAAAATTAAAAATAAAATTGTTTTCCTGCTAATTACATAAAACCAGTCAATACTAGAATGCTTTAGTTACCAAAAGGATGGTTATCTTCTTTAAACTGGACAAAAGATGTACACATGATGGTTGCCTTAGCGGTTACTTTTCCAACCACTTCTATAATTCCAGATATTTCTTCATCAAGCTAAGACATGGAACAAAACATCAATTTACTGTTATCACATTTTCAGTTGACAATTAATTTGGAAAACTGTTAATACAGATTACTAATCTTTCAATTCAAGTAAGAAAGTAATTTTAAAAATTACCAGTGCTAAAGTTAAAATGTAACTGGTTAAAAAACGTTTCAGTACTTAACTGAGAGCATGTTAAAATTCCTGTTACCATGAGTAGTAGCTTCAAATCCAAAGCTACAATTCAAGTTAAAGACAAAATTACTTATTGAAAACGTCCAGCATTTCTATAAGCAGTAATTTCTTATTGAGAGGAAGAACCTTCTATAATTTGTATTTCACAATGTATACTGTATAACCAAGTATCATATGGATCTGTCTTCACAAAATACCAAAAAAGTTCTAAGTACATTAAACATAAAATGAAAAAATAAGTAAGTAAAAACTGGAAATATATAAACAAAAACAGAAAATAAAATAAAATTTAAAACACTTGCTGGGTTAGTCCAGGCAGGAGGATGGTTGCTTGAGACCAAGAGTTCAAGACAAGCCTGAGTAACATAGGGAGATGCCATCTCTACCAAAAAAAAAAAAAAAAAAAAAAAATTAACTAGACACAATTGAGCATGCCTAAAGTCCCAGCTACTGGGGAGGCTGAGATGGGAGCAACTTGATCGTGGAAGGCTGAGGCTGCAGTGAGCCACGATGGTGCCACTGCATTCTACCTGGGGCAACAGAGTGAGACCCTGTCTCAAAACAAAAAAACTCTTGAGGAAGAAAAAAGCAGTTTAAATTTTTCTTATGTAATTTTATGGCCTTTCATAAGGAATGAAAATTGTTATCCAGCATTTAAGGGACATGTTCAAAAATCATGAAGCCCAATAAAAACCATCGATTACAAATGTAAAAGGAAATATAATGAGAGAATAGTACAAGAATTTAATTTTAGAGCCAGGGATGTTTCACCAGCTCATCTTTTTTACATCCACTCCAAAAATTAGAAACATCAACAACAAACCAAACCCAGTTGAAGAATTAACTATAATATACATGAGACCTATTAATACTTAAACATACAGGTTCCATCAACTCGATGGTTACATTTTTTCCTTCTCCATCTGAAAGAATAAACATTTTTCCGGTGGGATGAATCTAAAACGAAACATATGATTAAAATCTCATTAAAACAACAAATAAGTTTGACAAAAGATGAGCACATTGATCCTTAGTTGAGCACAAATCGTTTTTTGAACAGTTTATTCATTCTATTCAATTTATTGGTTCAAATTATAATCTTATATTACCAAATCTGTTCATGGGACACACAGTTAATTTGGAAGTTCGGACAAACAAGGAATTTGTTTTGTAGTATAAGTAGGTTCTGCATTTGCTAAATATGGCAATCCTATTCCAATAACAAATTAAAGGGAGGCCCGCCCTAGCTAAAAGTGAAACCTGCTGGCACTTATGATTTAGACAGTACACAACCCATGGAGTTTATGTTTTAAAAATCAGGCATGATGAAGTTAACGGAGAACTGGTTGCTAGAATATCTGGGTCCTACTCCTGGCAAGTAGCTGTAAAGAGCGCTGTGAGATCTCATTTGAATGCCAGCTTTGCCACTTGCTGGGTTTCGAAGCATTTGAGTCAACCACCTATCACTCCTACTCAGTTTCCCTACTTGTGAAGTCAGAGTAACACTCATTTAAGGAAGAGGATGTGTAGATGCAATGAGCTACTACTAAGTCTTTATATAATAGTTCCCCCCCCCCCCCCGGCCCCAGCTTCTCAGGTCTCTGATTCCAAGACTTTGGGCCTGTTTCTCTCCAGTAGAATGAGGGGACTTCACTTTAATAGTGGGGCTAGATAACTCACTACTACGGGACTCAAAGCGGACAATCAAGGCAGGTTTTGCAAAGAAGCCATTACAACGAGGAAACGAGGTCTGCAAAAAGAAGTGATTTCAGAAGAGAAGGAATAAGCAGATTAGTTTTGACGGCGTCTATCACGTCTGAGTAAACTAAGAAATTTGAAGGTAGATGTGGGAGTCGTGTCTATAGTTTCCCTTAGATAAGCACTGCCTGGATGGAGGCGAAGAACATTGGAATTTAGAACGCAAAGCATTTGAAAACACCTTGTTTCCCTGCCATAAAAGAGGCGCCAAATGGGGCTATAATGGTTAAAGAATTTTCAAAATGACTCCTTGTGCAAAATAAAGGATTCGGAAGCGCAGTGATCTCAGGCTTCCCATCCTCCTTCATCCCCCATTACCCAGTTATCCACTCAAAATCCGCCACCCAGGAGGTCAAAGGGTCCCTCCCTCCGGCCTCGGATAGCGGAGCACACGACGACGAACCCGCACACCTTTTCCAGCCTCCCTACGAAGCAGACAGGCTTGTCGATGAACTGAGTTAGCATGCTGACGTTCATGCGCGCCCTGGGCAACTCCATCATATCCACCATGATTATATGGTCCAAGACTGCGGCTGGCGGGAAACCCACGGAAGACTAACTAAAACTGTGAGCCCCGCGGGTGTCTATGGGGCAGATTTCTCTGTACTAATCAGCGAAGACTAGCGCTCCAGCTTCGCCAATTAAATGCGCGGAAACTTACGTCGCCGTCGCGCCGTCTCTGAAAGGGGTGCGGAAGGGGCGTGATGCGTCCGGAAGTGGAGATTGGCTGCTTAGTGACGCGCGGCGTCCCGGAAGTTGCCGGATCCCAGGCTAGCGGCAGTGGAGGTAGGGCTTGGATAGGGGCGGAACCTCAGGCTCCCCTTCTGCGGTCACGGGCTTCTCCGCGTTGATTTGACCCCGGAAGTGGGGTGTTGAGCTCCGGTGCCGGTGCAGCGCGGGACTGCGGCACGAGCCTCAGGTACCTCTTCTCGCGGGAGGCGCCGCAGCCTTACTGTTTCCTCATTCTTCCGGCTAACAGAGTCAAAAGAGCTAGGCGGGATGTCGGTACCAGCTGTTGCCGTGGTGCTGTGGTTGCTGCGTACCAGCTGTTACTGTTGCTCCGCCTTCCCTCTCCTAGGTTCTGGGTGGGAGGCGCTGGAGTTTTGCTGAATGAAATGTGGTGTGGGGAGGGGTCGCGGGGGTGGTTGTGATACTTGCTCCTTTGGAGATGGGGAGCGGGGGTCGTCAGTGATCTTTATCAATTTCAGGCTTTTGCCACTTGTTGCCTGAGGATCGATTTACTCCCTTAGCTGCGTCACTCTACTTTCTTAAGTTTCTCCACCTGTAAGAAGAGAGATTGGCCCGATTGCTTCTAAGACTTTTTTTGTTGTTATTGTTTTTTTTAGCCCAGACAACCTGGCTACACTGCGGTGGTGCCGGTTCTCTCGCTCCACTACCCGCTGTTTTGGCAGCCAGTAGAAGCACTTGAGATTGGGTAATGGGGAAGAAGGACCACTGACCAGGACCAGAGAAGACAAGCTCAAATCGTTGATACCCTGAACTAGTGTTCCCCCTTCTGAGGCATATTTTCCCCGTCTGCAAAACAAAGGGTTAGGCGGAATGATTTGCAAGGTCCCAGTTGACTCTTAACTTTTGGCCATTTGCTTGACGCAACAGTTTAAATCCCCCACCCCACCCCCAGCAGTCTTTCTGTTGTTGTCCTCCACAACCCGAGACTCTGGAGGGCGATCTGGAGGTCTGGAAGATAACCCTTTCCAGGGAGATTTGGAGGTAGTCACCAATCTGTCCCTGGCTATCTTGTGACCCGAAGCCGGCGGGCTTGCCATGAATATTCTAAACATAAACATACCTTCAAACGGTGCTGTGGAATTTGGACAGAAGTTTTAATTGGGTGTTATAACGTTGTGGAAACTGAGTCTGTGAGTTTACCCAAAGCTGCAGAATTGTCATTGTTCATATTCCCTAAGCAAAAAAGATCCGGTTTGAGAATTAACGTGGCAATTTAAGATTGGAATCTGATGTACGATAATTAAATGATAGTCTGCCTCAGTGTTAACTTAGCACTTAATAGGTTTCTCTTAGTTTTACTCACTAATAGTAGTTTAAATGATTTCGTTAAACAGATGTAGAATGTGTATCAGTGGTGTATAAAAAGTTGTGGTTGTATTGGTGCAAGTCAGTAAAGTCCATTTTATATTTCTGCATAAAGCCTTAAGTCTTTTGTACTTTAGCATTGCTTTGCAAAGTAAGTTGATGTGCATTATATAGAGGAGAGTACACACATGAAAGTCTTCAATGTAATTGTGTTTTTTTGAGACAAGATTTCGCTCTGTCACCAAGATTGAAGTGCAGTGGCATGATTATAACTCACTGCAGCTTTTAACTCCAAAGCTCAAGCGATCCTCTCACTTCAGCCTGCCAAGTAGCTGAGACTATAGGCACATGCCACCACACTTAGCTAATTAAAAAAAATTTTTTTTTGTACAGATGGGGTCTTGCCATATTGCCCAGGGTTATCTCAAACTCCTGGGCTCAAGCGATCCCTCCCTCTCTCCTCTGCCTCCCAAAGTACTAGAATTACAGGTGTGAGTCTCTCAGACTGTAATAGCGATTTTTTTTTTTTGAAGAGCAGTCCTGAGAGTACCAAATGTTAATGTTGTTTCCTTGTAGTTAAAAAGACCACTTTTAAGCAAAGGCTTTCTTTTAAAACAGGGAGATGAGCAAGAAGATCATTTAAAACAACTTTTTTGCATATTTTTGAGTCACTTAAAATATTATGAAATATACGATATACAGAAAAGAATATAGATAGTCGATTTGCATAGTTTTGAGAGGAATGAAATGAATCCATGGGGCCTGTCATTCAGCTGAAGAAATGGAACTTTATCAGTTACCAGTAAATTCTACCAGTCTGCACTTACCAATTAAGTCCTTCTCGCTACAGCCGTAAGTAAACACTATCTTGAAATTTGTGTTAAGGTTCCTAAGCTTTTCTGCATAATTTTATCACACACGTAGTCATTTCTAAATGGTACGTTGTTTAGTATTGCCAATCTTTGACCTTTATGTAAATGGAAACGTTATGTATCTTATGACTTGTTTCTTCTGCTTTTGAGATTCATCTATGTAGAATGTATGTATACATATAAAAATATATAATGTATATAGTCACAGGTAAAGTAGGCATGAACCAGACAGTAGTGGGCTCTCCCCTAACCCATTAGAAATGTCGGGCAATAGTTTGGCAATTATCGAATTGCCTCTCTAAAAATGATAATTTGGGTTGGGTGCAATGGCTGACGCCTGTAATCCCAGCACTTTGGGAGGCTGAGGCGGCTGGATCACCAGGTCAAGAGATTGAGACCATCCTTGCCAACATGGTGAAAACCTGTCTCTACTAAATATGCAAAAATTATCTGAGCGTGGTGGCGTGCGCCTGTTGTCCTAGCTACTCAGGAAGCGGAGGCAAGAGAATCGCTTGAACCCGGAAGGCGGAAGTTGCAGTGAGCCGAGATAGCGCCACTGCTCTCCAGCCTGGCTACAGAGCGATACTCCGTCTTAAAAAAATAATAATTCGAGTGCCAGGGAGAGGCCATGCCTAATGGTCCATCCCTGTTATCAAAATGTTTATCGAATGCAGACCCAAGGGAGAAACAGCTTTCTGGGTCTGCATATTAAGAGACAAAAATGGTAAAGTATGATCTTCCTGGTACACTCTACCGGAAAAAGGAAGAAGGTCTCAGATGGGCTTTCGTGTAATCCCCTAACCACATTACCCAAGGGTCAGGAGGGCTCTGCGCATGCGGGCAGCCCAGCCTAAGGGAAGAAGCATGGGAAAGAGGCGAGTTTAAAAAAGCTTCACATTCCTGCTTGGGTCTCTAACTAGTACACCTTTGTTTCTTTACTGTTTCCGGCCTTTTTAAGTAAACTTCCATTCCTGCTCTGGAACTTGCTTGGGTCTCTTTTTCTGCTTTATGGCCCTCAGTCAAATTATTTCTTCTGAGGAGGCAAGGACTGAAGTTGTTACGGACCTATCAGGATAGGCCACGTGTAACTTGGGGTAACTTGGATCTTTGCCACCAGTAACAAAATGATTTCCCCAAATGGTGGTATTAGCTTACCCTGTTACCTGGAGTATAAGAGAGTTGCAGTTAATGTATATTATTGGCAACCCTTGAAGTTTTTTTCCCCAGTTAAATGGATATGAAATGGTTTTTTGTCGTGACCTGAATTTGTACTCCCTGATTACTGATAGGTTTGAACAATTTTTCAGATTTTTATGGGCTATTTATGTTTTTCTTTTTTCCTTGATTTTTCTTTTTCTTACTGACTTTTAAGAGCTTTTTATTAGCGGAATATTGTAATGGTACAAAGTGTTGTCCGTTTTTGGCCTATCTTTCCATTTCCTTTCTTCTTTCCTTTTTTTTTTTCTTTAAATTAGAAAGATAAAATCTCTTTTGCTGGGCGCGGTGACTCACGCCTGTAATCCCAGCACCTTGGGAGGCCAAGGCGGGTGGATCAAGAGGTCGAGATCGAAACCATCCTAGCCAAAATGGTGAAACCCCGTCTCTACTAAAAATAGAAAAATAAAAACCCTCAGCTACTCGGGAGGCTGAGGCAGGAGCGTTGCTTGAACCCGGGAGGTGGAGGCTGCAGTGAGCCGAGATCGTGCCACTGCACTCCAGCCTGGCTCCTGGTGACGAAGTGAGACTCTGTCTCAAAAAAAAAAAAAAACCAAAAAACCTCTTTTAATGTAGTTAAACATTTTCCCCCTTAAGTTTAATATAGGAGAAAAGTCAATTAAAATCTCATTTATGAATTCTTTTGTACATCATACTCTTAAAGGTATTCTATTTTTCCTGAAAATTCTTAGTTTTGCCTTTCATATTTTATAGTCCATCACTAGAATTCACTCTTCATGTATGTTATCAGATGGATCTCCAGTTTCTTTGTTTTGTTTTAATTTCAGTTGTCCTAACATGATTTCACTGTATCACCTTTTTGCCACTGACCTTCACATGTCACCTTAAATTTACAGATACATGTGGAGTTGATTCTGTTCTATGGATCTAGTTTTCTGTCCCTGAACCACTACTTGTTTTCTTTAATAGTGTAGCCTTATCATAAGTTTTGATGTCTGGGCTGTGTTCTTCAGGAATGTCTTGGTTATTTTTGTCTCTTTACTGTTCCATGTAGAATATAGCTTATTAATTTCCATGAAAAACTGTGTTGGAATTTTGATCAAAATTGCGTTGAATCCTTAGATGTATTTCAGAAGTAACAGCTGAATGTCATCTCTTACTATCCTTGAGCTATTTTGGTCCTCTTAAAATCTTTCCAAAAAGTCTCAAACTTTTCTACATGAGAGTTTTGAGTTTTAGCTTATATTTGTTGTTAGATACCTTGTTTTTGTTGCTGTTATGAATGGTATCATTTTTTAAATTGAAGATTTTAACTGATTGTTTTGTTATATAGAAATGTCATTTTAAGAATTTTCTATGAGTTTTTTTGAAAATTTCTATTTATATTTGAATAATTATAGTTTTGTTTTGTAAGAATTCTTACATATTTTATTTATTTTTCTTACCTTTCCCTAGTATAGAGCCTTCAGTACCATTTTGAATAGAAATAATGTTGAAGTCAAGATGGGTTTGGCTGCATAAATGAAAGTATCTTTAATGCACAAATGCTCATTCTCACGTGTGAAAGAAGTTCACAGCTATGCAACTTAGTACGTATGTGGTAGTGCCGCTAAGATCTTAGGGCCCCAGGTTCTTCCTGTCTCCTATACGTTCAGTATCTAGTTCCATATTTATGGTCACCTTATAGGCCAGGTAAGTGATGGAGCTTCAGCCATTGAGTAAATCCACATTGCATGTGGCAGAGAAGTGGACAGGCAAGAGTATACCTTCATGAGATTCAGCTTCTTTTAAGGAGCATTTCTCGCAGTCCTTCCCAACCTGAATTTCTGTTTATTAGGTTAAGGAATTTTCCTTCTATTCCTAGTTTGATAAGAGTTTTAATTGAATGGTTATGGAATTTGATTAGATGCATTTTTTGCCTTAATTGAGATGATCGAAATGAGTATATATTTTTCAGTGTTGAACCAAGCTCACATTCCTGAAAGCTTGGTTATGATGTATTGTTTTTTATTATATATTCCTGGATTTGATTTGCTGTTGTTTTTGTTTAGAATTAAAAAAAAAATCCGTATTCATGAGAGAGATTGGCCTGAATTTTCCTTTTTTGTATAGTCCTTGTCAAAATATGACATATGGTTATTAGGCAGGAGAATTCCCTAAACCCTTTGTGTGACTTGCAACCAGGATGTGGCATGTTTGCTCAGCTGCCATGCATTCAGACCCTTTAAGGGTGGGGGGATCATGCAGGTGAGCAGGTGCAGGAGCTGGGGTGAGTGATTTTGGGCTTTTACCCCACCGCAGTGACTAGGGGTGTTACAGTGCCTTTTTAGCCCTGCCGTCTGGGGATGGCTTAAGTGTTAAGTAGCTCAGTGGAATCAGTGTGACAGCCTTTTTGGGTTCCCGCACCTAGGGCATCCTGAATTCTTGTCTAGCATCCAGGAGGAATCAGGTTACATGGACTTGAAAGATGGTGAATGTGGGCATTTTATTGAGTGATGGAGGTGACTCTCAGTGGGATGATGATATGGTTTGGCTGTGTCACCACCCAAATCTCACTTGAATTGTAGCTCCTATAATTCCCAAGTGTTGTGGGAGGGACCCTACAAGAGGTAACTGAATCATGGGAACAGTTTCCCCTATACTGTTCTTGCTGTAGTGAATAAGTCTCATGAGAGCTGATGATTTTATAAGGGGAAGCCCCTTTCGCTTGATTTTTTTTTTTTTTTAATTTTCTCTTGTCTGATGCCATGTAAGATGTACCTTTTGCCTTCTACCATGATTGTGTGGCCTCCCCAGCCACGTGGAGCTGTGAGTCCATTAAACCTCTTTTTCTTTATAAATTACCCAGCAGTATGAAAATGAACTAATACACTTGGGGAGTTGGAGAGGGAATGGAGTGGGAAGTCCTGTAGTTCAGCTGTTTTATGGCCAATCTCCTCTCTGATCATCCCCAGTCACACTCACCTCGACACTCAGATGCCTTCTCTCTTCTGTCCTTCTCTGGTGTGCCATTCTGCTGCTCTGCTACTCTTCTGCTTGTGGAGCCTGGGGTTTAGGGTTTATATGGGCACAGAATAGGGAGGTGTAGTGGGCCAAAAGGCATTTGAGTGTAAAAACAGCCTGTCCACATTTAGGGCTGTGGGTCCAGGCTTGAGGGTGGAACCCTTGCCAGGACCCTGCCCTTCTGCCTCCTTTCCATATCAGTTATATTAGTTCTGTGAAATTAGTGTGGAGTGTTTCTTTTATTTATTCTCCAAGATTGTATATAAAGCTGAAATTATCTATCGAGTGTTTGGTAGTGTTTACCTGTAAAACCTTATAGATCTGGTATAATTGTCTTTGACTAGAGCTTTAGATATTTCCCATGAGTTTTCATAAGTAGATGTTCATTAAATTCTAAGTATTTGCTAGTTTCCAGCATATTTCTTTTTTGAGCCATAAGTCATTTTTGTTTCAAAATGTATAGGTTTTATTAAACTTTTTTTGATAATTCCAAATGAAATATGTTATGATCTGAGGGAGTGGTTTGTCTAATTCTTTGAAATTATATGGGACTAATTATTTGAAATTATGTGAGGCTTGCTTTAAGGCTTATTAGGAACATGGACAATTTTTCAGGTGTGCTTGGCAAAAAAAGAATGTATTTTCCAGTTTTTGGATCCAGTGGGTGAATTGTAGTGTTCATATAGTTCTATTCTTGTTTTGTTTGCTTAATGTCTCTATTAATAAATGTGTTAAATATCCTATAGATGGTAGCATTGTCAGATTTCTCCTTGAAGCCCTGATAACTGTTGCCATATAGAT